TAGGGAAAACTGCCCTTCAAAATATTTAGGTTTTTTTTGGGGGGGGGGGGCCAGTTATAAACTCTTTTATTACTCTGACTTTGTTTGTATTAGGATATGCTTCACTTGTAGTGTTAGTGAAATAAGTTGTTATTTTTTCACTCAAATATAATTCCCTTTCAGATATCAAGGAACCAATTGTAAAGTAACCTGTAGATTTCACAGCTCTCTTCAAAAATAAACAATGACTGTAAATGCCGATACTCTGAGAGACACTGAAACACAGATTTACACAGAATTCTAGCATGATTTTCACTAAAAGGTAAGAGAGGGCTGAGCTTCAGACAATGTGAGAGAATGAAGGTATAAGGCCAGCATAAATTTCAGATGAATTACTTTCTAGAATAACATTTCTTTTCTCTAAAGTTCTCACAAAAATAAGCAAATCCCTTCTTTCGATGCTAGATATTCACACATGTAAATACTTTGAAGATCTTGGGTTGCAAGTTAAATCCACGACAGCATCGGCCTCATGCTTTGCTTTTAACTATGCACAGAAGAGAGCAAGGAATTATCACAAAGGCAGGCAGGATAAAGCCTGGAATTCATTATAAAATTGATTGCAAAGGGCATATGTTAATTAAGCAACCTACTCATACTGTTTTCCTTTGTACTCAGTTCATACATTGATTTATTAGCAAGAATAGCTTTAAACAAGTTGTCTGTTTGATAAATGATCATTTTAATGTTAAAGCAATAGTAAATTCACATGGGGATAAAAGACTTAGCTGATAATCGTCTAGATGGTCTTTGAACTTCACTCTTCAATCTAAACTTTCAAGAGACTGTTTAACTATTGTATTGAGCTCAGAGCATGACACAGCAGTATTTTTCCCAGAGTATTTTATCAATATAAGAGTTTCTCAGGTGTTCTTGTTTTTCCTCTAAGCCATACTGGAAAATTTTGTGTCTAGCTTGATCTTTTCCAACATACACAAAATTGTTCATATAAACCAGTTATTAAGCCCTTTACTCCCGGTAACAGAGTGGCAGAATAACAGAACAGTTGAAGTTGGAAGGCACCTCCGGATATTTTGCTAATCCACAGCCTTGCTCAAAGCAGGGTGATATAGAGCAGGTTGCTTGGGTTTTAAATATCTTCAGAGGTGGAGAATCCACATGCTGTTCAAGTGTTCAATTGCTCTTACAGTAGAGAAGGTTCTTATGTTTAAATGGAATTTCTGGTATTTCAATTACCCCTTAATTATTTTTCAATCTCAAACCATGAATTTTCAATATCAAAAGATTTCTTCCATCCTGACTCCGTAAATTCATTTCTGAAACTGAGTAGATTAAGCAGTTAAAGATCTAAGATGCTTTTAAATACTTGCAGAACATAATTTTGATCAAGGGGGAGAAGCATGAAGAGTAGATATGGTAATTTTACTTAGTGGCTGGGGGGGGTTAACCTAGTCCACTTTTGAACTGACACCGAAAAATTTCAGTAATGACTCCACAGACTTTACTGCAATGCAGAACTGCCTGTCTGCTGTACTTGGGTTAAGCTGCTTTTGGTTTTCTAATGAGAAATAAAATGTCCAAGGCGAACACAATGATTTAAATTTCTTGTGGGGGAAGGGACTCAGTTGTTGCTACTGCTGCTCCTTTGGAACCAATAAATACTTGATAAGCAGTTACTCTGGAGTATCTTTTGGCTATTTCCTTTCACTTATTCCTCTAGAAGAGAGGTTGTCCCTGACTCAAATGCCTTCTGTCACACACAACATTTGCCATGAGTTAAGTATTAGCTTGAGTTTTTCAGTCTCAGGTTCTCAGCCACTCCCCAAGCTTAAGATGTTCTTCCCTGAGCAACTTTAGGACTCACTCACCTCCACAGTCCAGCATGTTATACTCGTCTGGTTTTTCCAGGGGCCAACAGTCATAGCCTTTGTTGTCCAAATCATGCCAGCCCTCCACTAATATCACCTGCCAGAAAAAAGACATACAAATAAGACCGTAAAATACAGTACGGGGACAGAGGAAGGATAAGTTCCATCCATAAAGTTGGTAGTTCTTTTTGAAAACATGAATCAAACATGGAAGCAGAACCTGGCTTATTTTTCCCTGTCTCCTCAGTCTTCCAGAGCAAAAACCGGCAGCTTCCTAGCGGTGTACAAACTGGGTCAGTAGATTATTTTGGTCTATCCAGAAATAGGTCATGAAACAGTGAGGGGACTCAGCTAATCCTTCTCCTGCAGATAGGTCCCTCTACAGAGAGCAGAGGATTCTAGGTTTGTCTACAGAGAGACATTTGATTTAAGCAGCTTGTAAGCGTGCTTTTAAAATGTCCATCCCGCTCATCTTCTTTTAGTTGTTTACACCTGAATTCATTTAAAGAGCTGCTTTTTATTATCATTTTGATAACACAATATAGCTGCTAATCATGTAAAAGTTACAAGATGATCGATAATTTATATATCTTATTAAGATTACATATGCCTATTAGAGGAAGAATATAGCCTCATAATAACATACAGATCGAGCTGCAACAGTGGCATAATACATATCACACCTGCATATATTATACATTATACATTACTTCATACACATACATCTGTAAATCATATAATAAAATATATGTCCTATGATATATATATGCATATAAACAGAATATATATGCCATGTGTATGTATAGAAACAGAACAGAATATTTTACGGTAACTCATTCCGGGCTTATTGCACAATTAGTAAAAGAGAATAGGTTCTATTAATATAATCTGACATTATTTTCCTATATATTATTGGAGAATAATCATCTAATAGGTTATGCAGTTACTTATTCCTGTTTTCACGGAATAAGTTAGAATTACAGAATTGATTTTTCCAGTGTATTCTCGTTTTACTCTTATTCTCTATATCAGTAAAATAAATTATATTCGGAACACTCAGCCATGCACAATTCTTTAGGCGTGCATAGTCCACAGGAAAATGTTCTGGTAAGAGAAGCTATGTAGTTTACCTACCAAAAAACTGAGGAAGCTTCGGAGCCTAAGGGTCGGTGTTTTGACAGGTCTCATGCTCCCTAACACGCATCAAGAGCAGCAAGTGTCAGAGCTGCTTCTGATGTTGCTGTTGCGACCGAATTAGGTGCCCCTTCCTAAGAAAGGGGGTTGCTAGGCAAGCTGATCCTCGCAACTCCGTCTGCTGCAGCTGTTTCGCCTCCTCCTTCCCTCTTCTCCTGTTCTGCAGCCTCCTCCCTGCGCAGGGTGGAAATCCCCCCCTGCACCTCTGAAGAAAATCTCTGAAAAAGCAGCAGTTGTCTCAGGGGCAGCCCCACTCTGAGACTGCTAAAGGAAGAGTGTGTGACCCTGTCAGCTTGAAGCTGGAAGAGCAACGGGAGGATTTTATTTCACTGCCCTGTTGCTTCGGACCCTGAGGCAACGTCTGATGCCTGCAGGGAAATTGCCTAAGATTGCTGATGAATCAGTGCTGTGGAAACAAGCGTGGAAACATAGCTGGGCCTGGGGCAGCAGAGATTTGTAGCTCCAGGGCAAGAAAAGGCTACCTATGTAAGACAAACCATAAAACCAGAGGTTGGACTAGGTGACCTTCTGAGGTCCCTCCAACCTGAATTATCTTATGATCTTACAACTTTCAGTTTCCGGATGTGTATGAGGGCTGGCATCGGAGAAGCACCCTGCTACATACACTGGAGAAATGGACCTGTGCCCAGGTGTGCTGGCACACTAAAGACGAGAAGGTGTCTAGGACTATTTCTGTTTTCTGAAGCTGCCATCAGTGTGCAACTTTGGCTGTGACTGAGCTGCGCTGAATTCAGAGTTCTGGTGCTCAGCCCAAATTCGCGTTAGGAAAGCTTGTCAGAATGCTTGGGCTGCACTATTTATTCCATCAAAAGCACATGAAAAAGCTACTTGATGCCATATGTTCCCAGTTCATCTGGAAAGTAGTTGTAGGTCAATTAAAAAAACCTGTTGGGATTCACTCATAAAAGAGTAACGTGTATAAAAAGATTTCAGGTCGGAATTGTATGTTTGTAGTGAAATCTTAAACTCCGTTTGCATTGTCTCCCTGTGTTTCACTATGAACATTTCACCTAAATGACAGATTTTAATATACTGAAGCCTTTAGAGTAGTTCAGCTTCACTAAATGGAAGAAAGAGAAAAAATGCCATGTGCAACTTTTTTGGCCTTATGTATTAACATCTGGAGAGGTTTTAGTGGTGTTTTGTTTTAGGATATCTTGTGCTAAATGAAGAATTTGCTGGCAGGAAAGCTAACGATTACGACTTGTTACAACTACAGCAGCCAGCAGATTACTAGCCTGATCCTATTTTCTTTAACAGGACTGTCAAATACTCTCATGACATTGATACAGTGATATAAGGACTGTAAAGATCATATATTACCTTTACAGCTACTTGTCTGTCACCAAGTTCAGGTTTCCTGGAGGGTGGCCATCCACAAGAACCTCGTCTGGGAATTGTGAAATAAAGATGGATGGACTGGAATGAGTCATGTTCATTCGATTTAACGAAAACATTTTGATTTATCCTAGCTATTTGGGAAGGACATTGCCACCTCAGTATTTAAGCCCTCAAAATATTAAACGGCTATTTTGCATTTAAGTACATGCATTATGGTAAAAGGAAAAGAGTGAGAGCTTTGAGAGTAACAATTACACTCCTCAGCTAGCTGAAGGAAACCAGAAATAGACGTGAATAAAATGAGATGGTCATCTCAAATTAAAAAAAAAAAATTCCCTGTTCATTTGCTCCTTTTCCTGTTTCCCAATTATCTGTAGTCAGATAGATTTGCATTAATTTGTTTACATTGTATCTTACTCCAAATTAATTTATTAGCTTTGTCAGAATCAGTGTACTATAGATTAACTGTGTTTGGCATATTTGTCGATTTGTTCAATGTAATAACACAGTTTCTAGGCTTTCTCTCTTAAAAGGACCTCTGCATCTAAAAAAAGAGGTAAATTCTTCTGTTTTAAATGAAGCATATCAACTAATTTTATGTTCACAAATTTATTTCTGTTGGCTGTGTTGCAGAATGTTTGCTAAGTATTATTATTATTTGTTAATTGCCTACAGTGCTCAGATGGTCAGTTAAGCTACGTGGTTTCCATTTCATTCCTTAATTCAACAGTAACTTTTAGGATTAATGGAGTGAAAATAAAGAGATTTAAAAGTTTTATGAGCAATATCACTGTCAATACTGGTAAAGACATATATTTACATTAATTTTTGAAAGGTGGATTAGAATAATTTTATCACAATAACTAAAATATATATATACAATATCTGCAGAAAATAATAAAAATGGCTAAATTATTGCTGAAGGAAATTTGTTAATTATATGCTTTTAAATATTTTAGAAAAGTAAATTCCAGCAATGTACCCAAACAAAAATTCCTGTGATGAATCCTTTAAATATCTTCAAAGATATTTATTTATTCTAGAATTCAAACTTTTCAGATGGTTCTTGTTTTCCTAACAAATTGAAATTAAAATAGAGATGTTTAAACTATTCCATTTTAATCAGATTAAATGTTCTAGCAAGACACTTATTTTCAGTCAAAATCCATCTTAGAAGATCACAAGAGGGCATTTGAAATTTCAGAAAAATAGAAATCTGAAGGCACCTTTTGTTAGAACTATATTTTAATTTGTAAAATCAGCATTTAAAACATAAGTTTTTGAAATATAAAACTCCGCTATGTAGATTGTGCTCTTTTTAGCTAGGTGTGTCAGATCCTGTTATGTACACAGGGAAAGATAGATTTAGAAATTGGGAAAAACATTATCAATATTTTTATAAAATACAGGAATGTATTTTTAAATGAACCTAGAGGAACAGTTGAGGGAGGGAAAAATATGAAAAACTAGGAAAGTGTCAAATAAAAGTTGACGGATAGGGTTAGTGAAAAGGGCAGCATAAACATTTGGGCATCTGAATAAGAGGCCTTTTTATGTGAATAGCTCTTTTAAAACTTATATGTTGCATCCATGGATTCACGCACAGGGATTTCACAGTTGTAGAGCTAGCAAATCCCAGGCAGAGGCTTGTGATACTCACGGTGTTTGGAGACACGGTAAACACGGACGGCCGCGGCGCACTGACACTTCCCTCTAGCGCTGCCAGAGCAGAGCGCCGGGGCACGCGCTCCCCTCCGCGCGCAGCTTGCTTTAAGTATAGCTCCCTCTTGATGCAAAAGCTGCCACAAATGGGACAGTTGCAGTGACACCTGCCTACGGGCAGCGAAGCAGACGGCTTGCTTTACCCCAGGCTCTCATTTGGCAATTTGGAGAAACAGCAGTCAGGAGCTCTCTAGCCGCCTAGCGAAGCAGAGTGATGCCTTTGCCCTTTAGAAAAGCAGAGCGATTCAACCCACAAGAAATTCCCAGGGCCCTGACGTATGTCCACGTTACCTCAGCACAACAAGTCACCACGTGCCGCTGGGTTGTGGTAACCATCTTTCCGCACATTAAAGAAAATGCTCTGCAATTCTACTTAATGCCACCCACAAAGAGTGCTGATCTTTTGTCCAATTCCACAAGCCCTTTAAGGCGGCATAAACCAGGTCGCAAAAGAGGCCTTCCAGCACGAGCTTCTTGTTCCCACACCTGCGCTCTCCCTATAGGGCTGGCTATAAGATTAAAAGGACAACTGCATCAAAAGTCTGATCTGGTTACAACTAATCCTTATCTTTTTTTTTTTTTCCTGGTGGGTTAGTGAGTTAGTCTTTTCTCCTCCCATGCTTTGTCCTTTCCCATCTGCTTTGGGTGGAAACTCGCTCTTTTTCATCAGGTAAAAAAATCCATAATTTTTTTCTTTATGAAGGGAAGGCGGAAAGAAGGTTGACATTTGAGGGTTTTGAGAGAATTCCCACAGTTAGAAAACTCATACATAATAATGATTTTCTTTCTAGTTGGAAGTGCTATAGGTCTTAATAATCTAATATAACATACTATTGAAAACAATTACCACTAGAGTGCCACTAGGCACAAAGAGCCTACATTGAGGGAAAAATACTCACAGTTCTCAGAGAAACCAACAGGAATTTCACTTTCAAAGTGAGCCAGCTTAAACTTCAGAAAATCCTAGCCTAAATACACAACTTCAAAGAGTTTTCTGCACCAAGGGATTTACTTGAGTAAATCATTGGGTTTCTGTTACTGCAACACAGCATGTCAATGCCTTGGTAGTTCACAGGGCATTCAGTAAGGCTGAGAAGGAGAGAATGAATTTTAATTTGGTAGAAACACTGGCTGAGGGGCATATAAAGAGTTGGTCCCATTTCAGCACAATATCATTCCAGTTTTCCGTTCGGGAAAGAACTGAGGAGAGCACCACTGATGGTCAAATTCCTCCCATCTCTCAATCCTCCCACACAGGCAGGAACGTTACAGATGCCTGCAGTGCACAAGAACAACAAACTTGGCTGCTCTTAGGAAGATTCACAGGGGAAGATCTGGGTGTCAGTGGCAGATGGCAGCTGAGGGACATTTCTGTTCTTACATGCATCATGCTGCTAAGATCCACTGGTAACAACAGCGGCTGCAGCAGTATTCAACTAATGATCGATTTGATTCAGGATACCTGTCTGAAATCTACATTTGGCCTTAATGGGTTTTTCTTCTCCTCCTCCTCCCTCACTGCGTGATTAATTTCTGTTTTCAGAATCCTTGAATGGTTTTCTGCCCATAACTAGTTTTGTACACCTTAGCATTGCATTATGCATAATGTCAAGCATTTCTTGACATTAAAGAAAACAAAAAACAAAAGCAAAAATACCGCCTCATGAGCAACAATAGCTTCCATATTTATAGGGACTTACAAGCTAAGGGGTTCCTAAGGGTCACAAAGAAGTCACTGAGATAGCGGTCTCATGGTCTTTTGCAACTGAAGGATCATTTAGCCCTTCGGATCATGCTTTTGGGTCAGCTCACAAATGAAACCGGGCTCTAAACTGTTTCCTTTGCTTGAATCACAGTCATTTCTGCTTCTGTCAGGCTAGACATATTTGTCTAACATGCTTTTAACAACCTTCAGTAGTCAGGCCTTCAACCTTTCCCGTGTGGTCTAGTCCAACACATCACTACCCTTCTGTGTTAGCAAGTTTTTCTCTACAGTCCAACCTGCTTC